AAGGCATTTTCTGTCACCAGATGCTCAATAGTAATTCAAAGGGGAAAATGCTAATGACAAAACCTCTACAAACCAGATGCCAGGAGGGATTTCAAGAGGGTGCACCTCCATATACAACACACTTCAAAAGTGGCTCCGAGCTTAGCACCCAGCAGGACGGTGCCACACTTAGCCACCCAAGGGGCAAGCTCTGTCTGTGAGGCCATGGACAGCTCACAGAGCACCTTGACAGCCAGGATCTCATCTAGGGCTCATAATTACCCTCTGGGACAGGCAGGAGGTTATTAGTACAGCTTTTTTGTGGGTAGATTAAGAAACTGAGGCTCAGAGGAGGCAGGACTTTTCCACAATTACTCAGAGAGAAATAGGAACTCGCAAGATGTCTGCCTCCTGGTCCCCTTACCCACCCCACCACTTTCAATCTGTCATGTCATCATCGACAGCATTTCAAATAGACCCCCAAGTCTTTCCTAAGGAAATTTTAAAAAATGGAAAAAAATAGAAATCTCATTGAAAATATTATTAGGGACAAGGAAAAGAAATAAAATTAAACTACACCCAGAGTTACAAGGGGGAAAATGGTATTTTCATAAATAAGGGTTAGATCAGTCATGGTAAATATGTTTTGAATAGTAAATGGGATTTTTGTTTTTCAGAGTCATTGAAGGGGAAGAATTGCAGCATCAATTGATGCATAATGATTCGGGGAACAAAAGGTCTCGTCTCCCAGCTCTTCTGGTGATGTCTCCTACCTCATTGTTCCCTAGTATTTTAAGTTCGATTCCATTCTGACAGTATAAAACTTTCTGGTACTATCACAGTAAATATCTCATCTAATTGAAGAAAAAACCTATTAAGATTTGGATGCTGCTCCACATCTTCTGTGTGTCAATATTACATCCACTCCATTAAATAGATAACCACTTGGCTGACATGCGGAGCTCTTAATCCACAGAGATATAAGAGACTCACACTTGTAGAAGTCCAGAAAAAAATGAAAGCCATGGTTTGCCATTTATCAGAATATTCAACAGTCAGAAAATAAGGGAGAAATTTGAAGAAAAATGATTGTGGGAATATTTGCCTTTCCCAACCAAGCCAAAAGGATGGGTTGAATCAAAAATATAGACTACGGCATAATAATAACATTGCTGTCCCAGAGTCTTGTGCAAAACAACTGATGAGGTATTAATGAGGAGCTAATCACTTGGTCCATAGAGCTGGAAAGAGACTGATGGATGGCTGGAGAACACACTTGCTTCCTACTGCAGAAAACAAGGCTAAATCACAAGCCTGGGTGATGCTCACTGTTAGGGAAGAAGAAAATGAACTCCTAGGGTTTTCAGAGATAGGACCCCTAAGGAGTTGTGTGGGGAGCAAGGGAAGGACAGAAAGAATTCATAATTTAGAAAGGGACAAGGAAAGAAAGAGCTGCAAAAAGGGAGAGGTGCAAGAGATAAAATGAACATAAGACAAAAATGACTGTTTTCAGAGTGGAGATATTTGGAAATTTGTTCTAGGTGGAACCTTGATATGATATACTTCATTGCTAAGTAATCCAGGCACAGGATAAGAAAAAGATTGGTTTGCCCCCTCACTGCAATCAGAGAAACAGCATAGGCCTGCAACTAGCTGCTAGCTGCCCGCTTTCAACTAAGGACATTCCCACTGTGCTCCACAAAATTGGTGATATATGCACAGCTACCTCGCCCAGCAACACCCAATCCAGCCTGCTTGCTCCTAGCCCAGTGCTCTTCCTGTGCCCCACACTTACCCTTTCTCTTCACATTGTAATTCAACTGGAATATTTGAGTTTTCTATCTGAGTAACTATTTTAGTCCAAAGTAAGGTCCACCAATCAGCTAAAACTGATGGGCGTTTATGTTTGCACTTCATAGTTATTATGCAGGCAGAAATTCATCACCCTTTTCCTACCCAGAAAATGAATTAAATCAAATCTGAATCAAGGCTGTTTGGTTTTTGTTTCTGAAAAGAATAAATAAATAAATGAAAGTAGTCCTGCCTTTAAATACAAAGATTTTGAGAAAATCAGAAATTTGTCTCAAAAAAAAAAAAAACTAAAGTGCAGAAAGTGAAAGGCTCCGAATTGATAATAAAGGATAAGGAGAGTTGCAGTTAGGCTTAAGAAACCTCACAGGTGGTGCACATTTATTTGCACATGCATGCACACAGAGATCAATGGAAGCAACACACATGGGACATTGTGGTTTGAATACCAAAAGAATCACTGAAGTATTTGTGTGCATGAACGTGTACGTATACATGTAAACAAGTATCATAATATAAATAATTAAAAAGATGAATGTAGTTTGTACTATGTGAGTTTGAGGATCTAATACAAAACACAACTCAGATAATTGCTTTTAAACAGCCAAGACTGCCTCTTACGATTGCTAAATTACTTAGTCCCGAAATCTATTTTCCCAGTCAATAAACACAATGTACTTAGCTGGAAATTTTCAATTCTTCTAAAGAAATACCTAAGAATATACGAGGAGATTCTTGTTAGATTAAAGACATGCAGCAAAGTAGGAAACATAATTTGAAAGAGAATCAGAAGAAGAAAAACTTCAGAGAATTGTGTTCTCCAGACTTTTGGGTAAACTGTTCTAAAATCCTCAGGTAAATTTTCAAAATTGTCTGTGATCATGTTGAGCAACTTCACTGAGTTTGAAGGTGGCTGACGATAAGCTAAAGGCCTTTTCTCAGAATTTTTGATGTTAGTAAAGGCCTATGTTTGCAGAGAAGTCATGATCTCAGCTTTGAAGTTTCATCTGGCTGCTGCACCTTAATATGGCATCACACAGTGAATTATAAGGGGTTTTATTCATTCTGTAGCCCACACCCCTTAAAGAGAAAACACAGGTTAGCACTTACAGGATAGCTGCATCCTGTGCCACACAGGAAAAAAAGGAGTTAAGGCTGCCTTTCCTGCAAGGGCCAAAGGAAACCCCTGCCAAGAGGACGAGGCCTTTGTCCATCAGTATCCACTCCCTCACACCTGGCTGTGGTCATGACCTTGTTGCATTCAAACCCTGAAGCCCTGAAGGATTGGGGGATCCAGAGCGGAGCTAACCAACTTAGGTCACACTAATTCTTTATAAATCATTTCATCACTTTGTGCAGCATCAAGATATGCTGCAAAACTGTTTGTCATCAGAGGAGTGGTTTTCATGCCTTGATGTGCAGTCCCCTCAGGGGAAAACCCATATGATGACAACCACTGTCACTCTGACCAAGCACTAAAGCCTGGCTCAGCACCATGGTCAGAGAAAGGTCAAAGCTCCCTCTCTTGGGGTTGACCCCAGCTGTGGCTCCCCTCTCCTGGAGGCTAGAAGTTCATGGATTGTGAGAGTGGTGGGTAGGGAAGAGGGGGGTGGTTGCTGAGGGTGGGCCACCAAGGGCTCCAGATGGGATTTACAGAGACATGCCACATGCATCTCAATGAGTTTTGCAGTAAATTTCACTGCACAGAGGTTAATCTAGATGTCAACATTGTCTGACAGCACTGAAATTACTCCAGGGCAGGGCTCCTTCAGAAGTCTTAATATAACAGTCAATTCCATCCCGCCTGAAGGAAATGAAAGTTTTCTGCTTTGTGTGCCGAATCATTCGGCGCCAATTTTCTCACGGTTTGAAGTCCAAACTGTTTGTGGTCCTGGGATTCACCTTGTATTAAGACTTTTTACAGAGTTTGAGAAGCTGGATTGTCTGTCCCATAGAAACAGGAGGATAAGAACTAAAAGAAAATGAAAAAGCAAAAAGAAAAATGAAAGAAAATCTCTACTGAAATTTACTTCTGTACTGTGGACAGCAGAAATCAAATCACCTAGACCAGGTTTATTTTTTCATTCCAGAGGTGGGTCCTCAGGGACTGGGTAAATATCAGGTTGAATGCAGATGCAATATGGACATATCTCCAAGAAAAAGAAGTGAACATGTCGTACTATTGAACCGGATTTTTAAAGGTGACTTTCATGAACTCCTCTTAAATGAAAGAATAATTATCAGATTTAGGACTGAAAATTCATATTTCTCATTGGGTTTAGTGAATGCTGCATCCAAAAGAATGTCAGAATACACAATAGTTGTCTGAGCTCTTAACCTACCTTTGTCCTTGAAAAAAGGATGTATCAATTTCTGATTGCTTCCAATTAAAAGAAAACAAATTCTCTCATTAATGCAAAATGAAAAAGCAAGACCAGGTATCTACATGTTTCTCAGAGCAGATGTTCAATCGGCCTTTCCTTGTCTGTGTTATCTTAATGTGTGTTCTATTAGAAACTTCTAGCTTTGTCAGTTGGAAGTATCTCTTACAAACTGTGAGTTTGGACCATAGTGCTGCACACAAAGCAATGTATTCCTGGGTGATCAGAACATTAAGAGAAGTTACCATCCCAACTCTTTATGAAAGGGAGAGAGCCTAGCTCACTGACTTAAGACATCATCTCCTATAAGTAAATATAAAACTAGGCCTTGTTTAAAACTTGGAATCTAGTAGTTCACTGAAAGGATGGGAAATCTGAATCTCATTACTTTGATCAAGAATTTTAAGTACTCTTGAAGAAGCCTTCAGTCTCCACAGAGGTCACAGAAAAGTGTTTACATTGGCTCACTGAGACTTAGGACACAAAGTGGCAAAGTATAAACAATCTACAGACAGTCAAAAAAAAAAAAAAAAACCTGTGTTTGGGGAGAAAGCACCAGACAAACAGAAGCCAAGATTCAGGTCCCCAGGGCAACCCATGGGCAGAGCAAAAGTCCTAACACTCAGTGCAGTCACATAAATATTCACCATACCCAACATGGCAGCAATGCTTTTCAGAATGATCAGTTATCAACATCTCAGTCTCTCTGTCCTGTCATCTGCAGAGATGGTGACGTCACTACCAACTCCCAATCCAGATGCAGTAGAAACAGTTCCTTTGTGATGATCCATCAGACAACCAGGAGAGAATGATTTTCAGATGCTCAGAATGTTATTGTCAACATAATTTAATTCAGGGAGCACCAAATGATCAAACTTAACAAGAAAATGATCAAACTTTACAAGAAGACAGACTTCCCAACAGAACCTTTTTGAATGACTCTGATCAGTCAATCTTTGAATTTTTCATTCCTAAAAAATGTAAGATGCAAAGAGAACCCCAAATTAGAATCAGTTTTCTGACTCTAGGAAGGCCTTCTTTGAAAGTATTCTAATCCAATACATAGATACAAGCACACAATGCGTATATGCCTATATGTCCCTTAAGGAGATACTCTAGGGGTTTTCAAGCAATTGAAAGATTTTCGAAGCCTATCTTGATGTTTTCATACTGATGCAAAAGTTTGGAATTTCCCTTTAGAACATATTAAGCATTGGCTGAAAGAATTTATTTGGACTCAAAGAGGCAGCAGAACTCAAGGAACCTAAACCACAATGACTACAGCACTCAATGCCTAGACTAAAGGTGTTGTTTTTTTGTTCTAAGACAAATACCGTTGAGTATTCTAGCAGTTGGTTTCTAACCAAAGCAAACAATAGGCATCTCAGAGGCATCTCAAGGCAGCTTTCTGGATTGCTGGCATATAGGTCTATTCAATAATCATCTATAGACATTTCTATGCTCCAGACTCTCAGAAAAGCACTGGAAAGATCCGAGATTTCAAGATTTTTCATTGTACTGACTAGATCTCAGAGTGAAGACCATACTATTGTTGTTTGGTTCAGAAAAGGAGAGCAAGGAAGCCAGTAGTTCATTCCTGAATGAAAAAGGACTTGGGTAAAGAGTCTGAGACTTCAATCCCACCCTCTTTCCCACATCTTAATCCTTTACAATTAGCATTTAAAGATAAAAACCTCTTGTTTTTTGACTCAAGAGTTCAGATTGCTAGTGGTTAAATGAAAGGTAGGCAGGACTATCTTCATATCTTAGAAAAGTTTCTGTCAACTTTGGGTGTGCCAGTGTGGAGTGGAAATAGGTGTACTAGGTGCAAGGTGGCCTCCTTGGTAGAGTACAAACATTGGGACATGGCTTGTATGCCTGGCTCTCCCAGCCAACGTCCCTCAAACCTACCAGTCATTAAACCTTTTCTATTTGCCTTCTATAATCAATTTTTTGCTACTGGTAACTTTTCTTCCTCTCCCTTCATAACCTTCACTTTCTCTCTTAATTCTTTTCCTCTCTCTCATTCCTGACAAACAAGCTTGAAAAAGCAAAAGCAAATGGAACCACATTTTTTAAAAAAATTAAAATGAACCCTAAAAATATATATTCCGATTTCTTAAAGGTCTCAGATGGAAAATTTGGTAATCTGATAAATCAGCTGATTTAACCAAAGTCTCCTGGGAAACTAAGAACAAAGCCAGGTCTTTCCTGATTCTGTATTCTGTACACTCTTGGCATGACTGACTAACTGTCTCTTCTAAGTGAAGTCTCACCCGGCCCCAGAAACTGACTGACGACTCTTCTGTTGGTGTTGGTTTCCGTAGTGTTTAGCACCAGAAATACTTGCACTAGTGTATTCCGCAAAGTAGGTATCACCAGGGAAGAACATTAATGTTCAACCTGAACACAGAAGGACTAGGGACCCTTTACCTCCAGTGGGCAGCCTCTTTCCAGGGATAACATGTGCATGATTTGCTGATAGAGGAAGCACCAAGTCCTTTGTCTGTTGACTTGAGGAGACTTAGTGACCCCCAAGGTCCACTCACAGTTCCAAGATCTAGAGAGCAGCATTCGGTTCTTGAGTGGACCCTTGGCCATGGCACTCTGTTCCAAAGTGGACCACCAACAGCAAGTCACTTTCACTCAGTCCAGGGGGCACCAGGTTAAGGATGGCACTGCAGGGTGATCAGCCTGGGCTCCCTGGAACATTCACCAAGAGTTACAAAGAAGCTGGCTTCAAGCTAAGTTGAGAGAGTTGATCTGGCATGGTCTTTTAAAGTGTATATTTGGGTATGGGAGAGGAGGATGGAGTAGACAAGAGAGGCGATATTGGCCGACGGGATGTCGTTTCAAGACTCCTTTAACCACATTAGGCTCTTCCAAAATAAATAAATAAATAAATAGACCTTCAATACTGCTTTTCTACTAGGTAGAAGGCTAGGATAGGGAAGGAAACCAAATGTTTCCCCCCAGTCTAGAAGAGTCTCAGAAAAACTTCAGACTCTCACTTGTTGTGACAGGAGTGCAAAAAAAAAGAGAGGCTTCTCTTCTAGAAATCCACCCAGCCCAAGCCAAGAGCACCCTTAGCAGCAACTCCACCCCACTATGCAAGGCCCAAGAGGCCCAGGAGACCCAGGAGGCCCAGGATTCCAGAGTAATGCTGAGAAAAAGTGACCCAGCAATTAGACACTGTTAGAATTGAAGAATTCAGAGCTAGAAGGGGGTTGCAAATTAGCCAGGGTACCCCTGAATTTGAAGACACAGTAAACTGAGTCTTATTTGTTTTGCCTCAGTATAGGAGGAAAAAAAAAAGAACGCACTCTGCACACCCCTAGGTCCCCAGAGTGCCCAGTTTCCATAGCCCTATGCTCTGCCTCCTTTACTCTCAATTTTTTTCTTCCTTTTTTTTTTTTTTAACCTGTCAAGGTTAACATGTAAAGTATACTCTACACAGAGAGGACAGCAGGGTAGTGAGTCTTCCGAAGTCCCCGTCTCCAATACTCTCTCTTGTAATCTCCCATCCGGTAGATATTTATGGGGGACACAGCAAACAAATAACCCCAGTGCCAATGTGGAGGCCTGTGGACTAAGACAAGGGCAAGCTGACAAGTTTGGTATCCTTCCATGCTCCTTGTTCTCTAAGGAATTGGCTTCTTTCACTTGGCCACGATGCAGTGCACTGAGTTAAAACTCTAGGGCACCCCTCATTGTCTGCCAGCCAACCTATTTCCTCTCCCCCTTCTTCTCAACCAATTAGTGACTATGAGGCTCTAGAAACACACAGCCCAGACGACCAAAGCCACACTGTGTCTGTTTGGGGAAGGATAAGGGAAAAGAGCAGCAAGAGGAGCCTTGGAACATCCCTTCTCACCAGAAGATACTTTCCCCTAGGTCCCCCACCCCCAGGTCATTCCCTCCCTAGACATCTTTCCCTTGGTTACCCCAATCAAAACCAAGCTGTGCCGTTCCATCCATCATTCACAGCCCCAGCACTGACCAAGGGCCTCACGTGGAGCAATTAGTAGAACAGAGAAGTAATTGCTATAGGATAACAAAAGATTCTCTTAAGGTGGTCAATCCAAAGAACTCTTCCCCAAAGTCCTCAGGAGCTAGGCACACACCGCACAGCAGGAAGACCTATACTGAACTCCCAGTTTACCGAGTCTTTTCCCAGTCCAGCTGAGCAGCCTTACTGATCCCTGAATCCCAACTGTGGCTACAATCTGAGCACAGCTCTTTTCTATTTGAATAAAAACATTTGTGGGTCTAAAAAAAAAGAAGCAAAGCTGCAAACACATCATTCAGTCCTCCACCCCCACCAAGGATGCCCACACTTCAGCTGCCTTCAGCTGACCAGGGTGTCCAGGTTGCATATAGTCCCTTCAGTGGGCAAGGAAAAGGACAAGTCAGAGGCTCCCAGGAGGCTTCAGTCAGGAAAAGGTCAGTCCATTAGGTAGCTCTGTGCTTGGGATGAGGCGAAGAGGCCAGATTTCCCCAGAGGGGTACATTCCCTCCTCCCCAGCAGGAGGGCTCTGTGCAGCTAGGCTGTTGACTTCTACTGGCATTTTGTTGTCATGTGTCAGAGAGGCCCAGAGATCTGCTCTGTTGCAGTCCTTGGCAGCAGCCTGGAAGGCAGTGATTCCCCTGGTGCTGGGGCAGAGGGAGCTGGCCCCAGTCCAGTTGCTTCATTTTCCTTCCCTGGTTAGAGCCCAGTCCTCATTAAGATGCCAAGCTTGTGGCATCGGCCACTCATTGGACACCTCCCAGAGAAGCTTCAGCCCCTCCCCTCACCCCCAGCCCACAAAAGCGATTTCTCAGTCCTTGCCTTTTCACAACAGCTCAAAGGCAGATGCATCAATCCTTCCAGGGGCTGGAAACGTGAGGAGCATGCCAAGGACCCAGTGCAGGGCCAAGTGGATTCTTCCCTGCTGGCTCTTGCCCATGCCACTGCCTGGCCTCCCTGGAACACAGCACTGCCCCAGGCTCTCACTAAGCCTGGATTCCTCCCCTGGTGGTGGGGTTCACCCAGGATTTAGTGAAGGGACCATGAGTTGGGCTTTAGGAGCTAGGAAGGCAAGAGGAGAAACAGAGAGGACCCTGGGGACACACCTAAAAATGGCCTGTAAGCAACTAAGTCTCTGGCTATTGGAACCCTGCAGCCTACTGTGTCTACGTTAGCAGACAACACAGGGAACTTGTTTCCTAATCTGCAAAACTGCCCAAGGGCCCTGAAACCCGGATGTGGGGCCAAGGAGTCTTTCCAGTGATAGAAAGATGGGTGGCAGTGCCTTGTCAGGGTTCAGATTTCAGCTGTTATGTATATATGTATATATTTTTTTCTTCTGTGGTTAAGTCCAGAAAGTCCAGTTCTTTAAGTTCATAAGATAGAATGACACATCCCTTTCAAATCTAGGAAGGAACTTGAGCATGCTTTACATCCAAGTTGGATGCGGTCTGCTCTTGAGTGGTTTTGTGGGGGAGGTGTGTGTTCAGTGTTTACCCGTAGGCGCCATCATTGATTCCCAAAAGCATTAGGACTATACTTTGTAGAATGGACAAATCAGAAAACTGTCCCAAAGTGGAGGAAAGGGGGTTAGGGCATGGAGGTAAAGGGCAGGGCCAACTTGAGGGCCCCCGGTCTTCCAGTGTCATTTCCTTGCTGAGCACAGTTGTAGTCTGCGCATGCGCCTGTACGGAGTTACAGGAGTAACACGCATGTGCAGCAGTAATTGATTCCACCCTGGCTCCTCCCATCCCAAAGTGAAGATTGTCTTTCTACGTGGTCCGGGTCTCCTGCTCCAAAAAGCCAGAGCTGAAGAAGCCCTGTCCACAGCTTAAGTCAAGGGAATTTTCATTTGCGTCAATAATATTTAAGATTTTCTGAGTTGTTTGAAGTCTTTATAGTTTTCTGTATCAGCAGCTTCTCTCAGTATTAGAGAAGGTATTTATTTCTCTGTAGATATAGATAGATAATTAGATATATAAATATATATATATACGCCAAACTGCCTTACAAGATTTTTTTCATTCTTTCTTCTTTCTTTCCTCTTTCTTTTTCTCTCTTTCTTATTTTTTTTTCTTTTTTTCAGTGTTGTATGTGTAGCAGGCACTTGAGTTTATATGAAGATGTTTGCTTCAGTCAAGGATGGAAGAAAGGAGTTGTGAGGTGGTAAAGGGAGATGTGAGGCAGGGAGAGAGGAGGCAACAGAGTATGAATTCTTGACCACCAGCCACCACTAGCCGAGAATGTCCAGGTAGATTGGGGTGGCCTTCCCCAAAGCATGGAGGATTTTGTAAATCTCCTTGATGTTCAGCCGCTGCTGTGGTTCCCTCTGCCAGCACCCCAGCATGATGTCATACACCTCTTTGGGGCACACTCGGGGCCTCTCCAAGACACGACCTTGGGTAATGCACTCAATGACCTAAAAGAGTGAGGAGAAAAATGAAGTTATATCCAAAGCCCAGCCTTGGCCCTGTGGCTTCTACCCAGCAAAAGGCAACGACATCATAGCTCAGCTTCAGTGGAAAGCCCAGGTGCACACAAGGCTAGGCTGATTTTTTTCATCTCTCTGTGTATGGGCTAGACAGGGGCGCAAAGGACAGCAGGATGGTGGAACCCAATGCTGTCCTTTATACTCTACCTCTTGGACAAGGTCCACCTGGACATTGACTCTCCACATCCACATTCCGTTTTACCTAATTCTTCCTGAGCAGTCTTGAATTTCATCTGAATTGACGTGAGTTGGGTTCATTTTTGGTTTGCTTGATGAGATTGACTTCTGACCTGTCTTTTCCCCTTTTTTTGAGCCTGTATAACATTGAAATCACTTAAAAGCACTCTGCATTCCTGGCCCCTGCATGCCTACCTTTCCCTTAGCTTCTTGGCCAACTCTCCTCTTGGTCAAAGCCTCTGTGTATATCACCACACTTGCCTCTGAGTGTAGGTTTCTATCTGAGGGAGGCCCAACCTCCTCTTCTCTTTGCATGCACCCATGTACCTTGTGTCTTTTAACATCTTTAATGCTAGGTCTGACTGATTCACCACTATCTGTTGGGTAGCAATGCAAGTCAGTTCACCCCAAGGGATTTGATCATCCTTGTCTGTAAAGTGGGAAATAAATATCTGCCTTGACAACCTCCTAGGAGTGTTTTATTAAGGACAAATGAGATTAAGAAAAGGGACTGGATGGCTCTACATACTGAGGCAGTGGCCATATAGAGAAGTGGGAAGAAAACAAATAATGCATGGCTGGACCAACCTCAGCAGGCCACTTTAGAACTGTCTATAATTTGCAGTTCATTTCCCATTCCTCAAAGACATTTTTTTTTCCTTTGTGGTGCTAGGGATCAAACCCAGGGACTCACATATGCTAGGCAAGTGCTCTACCACTGAGCTACATTCCCAATCCAGACACTTCTTCACTAATGCTGATGAAGTGTATTCTCAAAGTTTCATCTTCTAGTTTGAAGGTTAATTTTCACTTGTCTCTCACTCCACTACCATGTAGCTTTGGGCAAGTTACTTACCCTGAACCTCAGTTTCCACATTTGAAGATTGGTGGTATGATAAAAATACACAGAATAATCTCTAACTCAGTAGCAAATGCTGAACAAGTGCTGTTTCCCTTCTCTGCCCCTGTTCCTTTGCAGTCAATTGGGCTAGAGAACTGCTTTATTTTTTCTTTGATATCTTCCCATGCTGCTTAACAGGGTCTTGTCCTGGGTTTTGTCTCAGGTCACCTTGACCTGGAATGGGCTGTCAAACCATCATTGTGTCAGAATCCTCCTGGTCCTATTCACCCTGGAGACGGCAACAGTTCACAAGGCTCATTCTTATGCCGCCACTGATTAAATTTCCTTCTGGTAGTAGAGCCCCATTTCCACTTCCTGTAACCTTCACTTCCATGAAAAAGAATCCAGTTGAAACTGCTACAGCAGTTGCTGATGCTAACATCAAAAGCACTCAGTAGTGTCTCTCCATTGTCAGTAACTGCCAGTGCCTGGCTGCTGTGGTGGGTGGAGGCTGGGAGGGGACTGAGACAGGAAACCTGCCTTCAAGGCCATTGCCTCACCAGGCAGTCTTAGAAGACACCACAAACACCCTGTAAGCTACTATGAACCGCTCAGTTACCCAGGACAAGTTTTCTGCTAAGACCCAACAATACCTTCATCCAGAGCCTCTCTTTTCTCTGGCTACCAAAATACATGGAAGCTGTGTTCAGGTGCATGCTGAGCACAAGCACCTGAAAGTTTTCATGTGTGCTCCCCCCAAGGAAAACATATTTTTAAAGCACCATAAAGAATATGACATATTCTCTTACCTTATTTTAAAAGGTTATACAGTGTTTTGTCCTACTTTGGGAAATGTGGTCAGGCCCCACTGAGCTTCTGAATAGTAAGATATTACAGATTTAGAGAAATGCCTTCTTTTCAGTCTTTGAAATTCACTTAATTAAGTGGTCAGGACATAGGAGAGCACAGATGAATATAGCTTTCAAGAAGAAAGAAACTGTCTTAAATATAAAATAAGATTTCAATACTAAAAGGTCCTAATGTTTACATTTTCCCAGAAAACAGAAGACCATAAAAAGAATTGCAATGTATTATAAGTGAGCTGGGTTGGGAGACAAATCCCCTTCAGGTCTATGAACTATTCTGAATCCCCCACAGGCAATATGGCTCTGGTCTACACTCAACTGAGAAGCAGTTTGGAAGGTTTGGAAGCAGAAGGGTCCTGTGACCACAGCCCAGGCTCTGTCCCTGCTCCTGGGGTTCTCACCTCCAAGGCTGTCTACTCCAGGATTCCAAATAATCCCCCTTCCTTAGTACTGAATCTCAACAAGTGTTTTTGTGAAAATTATTAAATTACTACAGCTAAAGTGCTTAGGAAAGTGCCTAGTGCTAAATGTGATCTATTATTAAAATTCATTCACTTTCATTTTTATTGTTATTTAAATTAAAATTATAAAAATATTGTGTTTATTATTATGCTTACTGTTATGACTTATTTTATTCCTAGAAATTCACACAGCACTCTCTCCATTATATGCACTTGACTTTCTCAGTTCACCATCTTATACATCGTTGGGGCTGGTGTGCCTAAAACCCTTGGGGACCCAGATTCCTGGGGCATACCCGGTAGTAGGTATTTCCACAAGATGGCACAATTGAAAAACTCATTGTTGTTCTTTGTTTTCCTTTCCTGTCTTGGTTAAACACTTGTGATTTTTAACTATAGCAGAACAAATAAAACCATGACTTTTATCTCCATTTAGACATCTGATTTCATGCCCTTTTGAGAATAATACTCTATTTCTTATGGTTACAATTTTTCCCCACTCTAAATTCCACTCCCTTTTTCTTTTCAAGTGCCAGGGCTTAACCACTAAGCCATATCCTGAGCCCATTTTTATTTTTCATTTTAAGAAAATGAAAAGGGTCTCACCAAGTTGCTTCGGGCCTTGGTAAATTGCTGAGGCTGGCTTTGAACTTGCAGTCCTCCTGCCTCAGATTCCTGAATCACTGGAATTACAGGCATGTACTACCACACTCAGCAAGCTTCCCCCTCTGCTTACTTATGTCTACATCCATTCTGCTGGCTCCAAATCCCAATTGATGTTTTGTACACTATGGCCAATTCCTGGCCTGAGCTACAATCTTTTCCCCAATCAGGATTCCTGTGTGCCCTGCTTTTTACCTCTGTGTTTGAGAGCTGAAACCATGGCTGTTTTCCATAGGTGAAGATCTCCCAAAGGATCACCCCGAAGCTCCACACATCACTCTCTGTAGTGAACTTCCGGTACATGATGCTTTCAGGGGGCATCCAGCGGATGGGGAGCATAGTGTGTCCTCCCACCTAAAAAGGGTCAAGACAGAGGCACAGAGAGTGACCAGATGACCAGAATCAGTCACGTCTTTCTGTAAGCTTCATGTGAAGATACAATCTCTTCCATGCATCATATTCTAAGATGGCTACTACTTGATGCAACTTGTATCAGAGGGTGAGTGGAGACACTGACGTCTGAGGCTAAAACACTGGAGGCAGCTAGAGTAGCAGTAAGAAATAACACCTGAAGAAGGTAGTTTCCTTGATACTAAGTGTGAAGAAAGACCACAAGGTGATCTGAAGTAAGAAAGAAGCTTTCAGAATCCGGTGCTACCATAAAAATCTTAAAATCTTCTAGAGGAAAGTCTGCAGAGTCCCTGAGCAAGCTGCCCAGTATCAAGTATTTGCAGACATCAAGTTAGCCTTGTTGGCCAATGTGGGGAGGGCACAATGTAGCCCATGGGCATCTCATAGGTAAAACCATGACTAGCTCCTACCTGTCAATCCTAAATTTCTTACCACATTTTGGGATTTCACGCCAAGGGACAGGGAAGTTCCAAGAGCATGGAAAAACCACATACTAATAAGATATCAGGTGGACAGAGGGAAATAATGACAATTTTTAATAATATCTCAAAAGTCAAGAAGGAAGACAGTCTTTAATGTGGCCTAAGAAGACTATCAGCCATTTGAGGATTTACTGATTTGAGGGCAACAGAAAGCCACTAACAAGAGCCAACATTCAGGGTATTTTTTTTTTCCTTAAAAGGATGTCAGGGAGAGCCACGTTCCCCAGCAGGTCGAGAATATTAACAGCAGTGGAAGAAAATTCACAACATGTTTTAAAACTCAGGAAGTAACTGCACATTATTAAATACAGATTCAAAAATTGGAACATTGGGCAGATACATGGAATTTGCTGAGGCAAAAGTGCTTACTATTGATAAAAAAAAAAGAGTTCTTTATAAATGTTCTGATGAACAATTAACTCAAAAGTTTTTATTTCTGAGGTGGATGAGCTAGAGGAATAATAATAATGAACATTTAAAGAATGATTTGGGAGATGGGCAATCTTCTTTCTCTAAAGCAAAGTCATGTTTGCCTTATCCACTTGAAGTATTTTAGAAGATAACAGATAATAAGGGTTTTCAGAACAGTTGTTTTCAACCTGGGATTTTATAATCAGGAAAGGTCTATATCTATTTTAAAAATAACTGAAGATATTTGTTTCAAACAAGCAAAAACAGAAATTTTACTACATACAACCCTTCATTAATAAAGCAGAAATTAATTGAGGATATATTTGAAAAAAAAAGAGAAAAGAATCCAAAATAAACAATGATTTGGAACATTACGAATACTACAGAGCAAATAAGCTACAAAGATGCAGCTTAAATTCAAATAACAGTTGCTAATTTGGTAGTAAAAGGTAATACTATACTAATAAGGGCTTTCTATAAAATAAATAATAATACCAATAATGCTAATAGTACTACCACTGTTACTACAAACATCTATCTGGAATGAAATTTCCATATAATTTCAACCATAAATGCATAAAAGAGTATATACAGAAAAAAATTAAAAGCCTGATAAAGGAAAATCTGCAGAGTCCCTGAGAAAGCTGCCCAGTATCAAGTATTTGCAGACATCAAGTTAGCCTTGTGGCCAATGGGGGGAGGGCACAATGTAGTCCACGGGCATGTCGTAGGTAAAACCACAATTAGCTCCTGAATTTATAAATTTATTATTTAGAAAGGAGGGGAAAAGGCTACAGATAGTGATCAATGGTTGATTATGACAGTTTAAATGTGCTTTCTAAAGTTTTAAAGCAACTTCCAGAAGAATAGAAGTGTACACCTAACTTCCTAACCATTTTCAGGAAAACAGAACCAAATCTTTAACCAATACCAAAAAGACTACAGAAAGAGGAATAGCAATAGTTAGACCACAAAATAAAAAAGAGGTTTAGAATTATTACTGTAGACAATAAGTAAAAACAGGTTATAATACCTCTTAAGTGAGAGAAAAATTAAGGGTTTAAAAAAAAAACAGGATTCATGTTATTTAGAAAAGTCATATCTAAAATAAAATCGCAAAAAATACTAAAAATAAAAGAAAAATACAAGCAATAAAAGGAAAATATAATCAACCTATATATGCATATACACAAATATATAGGCATATTATATATGCCTATATATGCAAGTATAAACATATACTTTTGTGTATATGTATATACATATATATGACCAATAATATTACTTTTATTGATTATTTTTATACATTTTGTATTTTTCACATGTGTATATAAAAACAGACTTCCAAATGTCAGGAATAAGTTGGAAAAAAAGTAGTTTGTATCATATTTTCAGTATACTTAATACTTAATATCATATTTAAAGATAGAAAAATTTACTATTATGGTAATCATGAATACTATGCTCCAATTAACATAGCAACACTATATAAAATATGTGTGTGTGTACAGTACACACACACACACACATATATATATATAGTAAAATTGGGCATAAACCAAAACTAACAAACCTATCATTATAATGGAAAATTAAAACACTTCTTTCACAAATTAAAATATCAAAATGACAACATAAATGAAAAGACATTTTTTAAAATATGAATAATGAGTTGTGATGGATAAATATGTTGTGTGATGGTTTATGTCATTCAGACTCCTTAAAAATAATTACCTTAAATTAAAATATTTATAGAAACCAACCACATAATAAACCTCAAAGAAAATCTGAAATTCTAAGAGGAAAAAGATAAAGAATGAAAGCAAAAAACACTTTCTTCATCAAATAAAACAAAATAGAAATTAACAACAAAAGTTTAATTTTTTAAATGGTTCTCTTTGGGCAATTAAAAACCTAATAAAGAAAACATAAAAATAAAATTTAAAACTATATATTATAATATTAACTAATGTCCTTTCATTAAGTCCTGTGGAATATAGTGAAAGTAATTTGGAGGGGATAATATAGCATCTAAACACTATTTTAAAAATAGTTAAAATGTAACTAAACTAAATAAGGATCCAAGGTAAAAGACAGAGAGACCTAAAAACAAAAGTAGGAAAAGTAAAAGGCACTAAATAATAAAGCCAAAATAAAATGAATATGGATCAATTGGTATCAAACAAAACAGAGTAAAACAAACAACCAAAAAGGGGAAAAGAGCAGACTCGGTCTGCACAGTCAATTGCTAGTTCTTTCAAAAGTGATATAAATGTATGGCAAGGTTAATAACGGATACAGAGGAAATAATTTGAAATACAACAATAATTTGAAAATAAAGATTCAGTGATTGGTTTACTAGAAAACATTAATGAAATGTAGAAAACATGAATATAAAAACCACTGCAATTCTAGTAAAAACTCTATACATAAAAAATGTCATAGGTTCAGATGGTTTTATGATTGTATGATTGAGTTCTACTAACATTTTCTATTTTATTTATATTTTTCCAAAGCAAAAAAATGACAGAAATGTTCTCAAACCACTTCTATGGCTTGAATATTTCTCTTTTTTTTCCCCTTGCTTTTTTTCCCCTTTGGCTTGAATATTTCTGATAACAAAATCAGTCAAGCTTAACATGTAACCTTAAATACATAAATACAGATTTTTATTATGTATGTATAGAACTATCTCTGTTATGAATAGTCTCCAAATCTGAATGACACATCAAATCAGCAGCAAATCACAGAAATCCCACACATAATTGAAGAATGTTTATAACAGAAATGCAAGAATGCATCAACATTAAGAAATCTGGTTTAATTTACTAAATGGAAAATAAAAGAAAAAAAACATCCTTTGAGAAGATGCCAAAATTTTCCAATGCCCTTTTATGATTAAAAGCTCTAATCCCTTAGTAATAGAATATAACTTCCTTTATTCAGCACACTAAATATCATACTAACTGATAAAACCTTAGAAGCAATTAAAAGTATTATAGACTTAATAAATTATCCAGATATAAAAGGATAACACAATAGTCAAACTCTTCTCACATGTCAGTAGCAATGACTTCAAGATGCAGGGAAAATAAAATTATTTGTACAATAGCAACAAAATGTTTAAAACCCTGAGACATAATCCTAAGCAGAAAATATATAATTCTATTTAAATAAAAGTGTTGAAAAAAAAGCACAAAAGAAGACCTAAATAAATGAATTTTTTTATAATTCCCTCAAAAAGAAGAATCAATATCACAAATGTCTCATTCTTCCCTCAAAATAGTCTAAAAGTTCAAAACAATGTAGATAAAAACCCCAATGGAATGGTTTATGGAAATCAACAACATGAATCCAAATTCATCTAGAGTAGTAAATACTTGATAAAAACTTGTTGAAATTAGAACAATGATGAAGATTTGCTCTATGAGCAAAATATTTTATTGAACTATGTAATGAACACATTGTAGTTTGGCATAGGGATAGACAAATTTATTAATGGAACAAACTCAAAGTCTAGAGGCAGACCCATATGTAAATATTGGAGTTTAATATATGAAATGATGGGTTAGTAATTAAAGTGTTGGGACAATGAACTATTCATTAAGAAAATACACTTAGATACCTACCTCACACCATATACAAAAATCATTTCCAGATGGATTAAAGAGCTAAACATAAAAACAAAACAATAATAATATTAGAAGAAAACTTACAAAAGTATTTGTATAACCTCAGGAGTGGAAGGCCTTCCTACATAAGACATATATGTTCAAGAAGCCATACAGGATAATATTTTGCAATATAGCTTATTAAATTAAATACATTTGCATAGCACAAGACAAAATAATCATAGTTAAAAGACAAATGAGATAAAATATTTGCAATTATGTAACAAACAAGGAATTGAAAAAAAACGTATAATACAAAGTACTCCTTCAAATTAGTTAGCAAACACAACCAACAGAAAGAAGAGTTAAAAGAGACGAACAGATGATCCACCAGACAGCTACCAATAGCCACAAATGTATGAGGAGATGCCAATTAAAA